AATGTTGCGAGAACGAAGGTCCCTAAGAACGAAGGTCAAAGAACGGGAAAATTGCATAGTTGAGAGACCGGCGGACCTCCTGAGAGGTGCGGACTGACGCGCAATTTGCACCGAAATATTTGACCTCGGCGACCTAGCAGGGCTCACTCTTGGCGCGTCGGCGGGGTCCGCCCACCGACTATCTAATCACTCGCCGCAGGTCTATACGTGGCGAGTGATAGAGAGAGAGCGTAGTGTTGAAGAGGGCACAGCGATGAGAGTCGCATCAATGCGCAAATCAACGGGCAAGGAAGGGGTCCATTTCTCGGGTTCTGGGCGTTCTCATGGTTCTTCCTTCTTTCGTGTACCACCCACCATCCCTAAGTCATTTTGAAATGGCTTATTGTTTCCATCGTGAATTCTGCCTTCGAAGCAAGTATTTCCTGCAAAATGTATTTCCGACAAATCTTGCCGAACACCACTACTTTACTTTTTTCACGTCACTACTACTGCTGGCACGCCTCAAACAAAATGAAGCAAATAGGCTGTTTCAGTCACAGTTTTCGAAGCTAGATGCCATCAATTAACTTTCCTTGCTGTACATCAGCATCAATTAAAAGTTGCCGTTGACATTTGTTGTGACAAAAAAGGATCTGCAGCTAGGCCTTGATTATGCCGGAGGCGTGATGCATTTTGAAGGTGTAAATATACAATACTAGAAATCACTGTAAGGTAACCCTCGTTTTTTAGCATTCCCGACTACCTTTTGCTTACAAATTCGTCCTCCATAAAAGGCTTGCATCAAATCTTTGGTCGAGCTGCAAGCTACATGTGTGGCAACAACAATAATTCCCATTCTCCCAGAAAAAATCGGGAATACTCTGCGCCTGAAATTCTTCATTTTTACCACGAAATTTCACCAGGTCTACCGACAAAAATTGTACCTGCTCAACTCTTATAGAAGGTTAAATTTTACCTAGTATCAGTACAGGCGACCTTAAGGGTGTGGACCGACGCGTGATTCGCAGCGAATATGCCCACGGTGGTCTAGCATGATCGTGCCCGCGCCGATATCTCCGAGGCACGCCCACAGAGCGGCAAACGCTCGTCGCAGGTTTCTATCCGTTCAGCAGAGAGCGTTAGCGTTGTGGAGGGTAGCACCAATGAGAGCTGAATTAGTGCGGAAATCAACAGGCGAAGGAGGGGTTCCATTTCTAGGTTCTGGTCCGTTGGTTTTGCCTTCATACTGGCACCACTGATCACCTCTTCCTTAATTCTAGCCATTAACTCCGCCTTAAATCGTTAGGTCTAACTACACTTCAGGATTTCTAGACAATTTGAAAACTTTATCTGACCTCGAAAAAATGGGCGGCCGCTTATTCATAAACCCATCACCAAAGCTTGCTTCCGGATGGAGTCATCTTTCCAACCATACTTCAGAAAAAAACAAAATAGCGTTTGGGTGGCCTGTTTCCATCATTCCAAGATCTGGAACGCATTATTTTCGATACTATCCCTGTTCCTCCTTCCAATATGCACCACCAAAACCGCTCATAGATGGGTCAACTTAATTACTAGTTGTAAGTTCTGGCCGTTTCTGACTATGGCATCGGTTCTCGTTTGCTCGTTTGGTAGGACTCATCAATAATGATCATTCTTTGACTTTTTCACTTTTGTACTTCTTAAACGAATTTTTTGGTGGGGTGGGGTAGCAGGGCTTTTTTATGAACAGTTTTGGGGGAGAATTAAACAACCTTTTCATAGTTCGGCTTTTGAAGAGGGTCGTTTCATGGACTTCGGCCTCTGGGGGAGGGGGGGGGGTCGTATTTCCAAATTTTCCTCGACGCCTCGCTTGACCCTGTATCAAGCCAGTAGTTTATGGGTGAGATAGATTCATGATTTTCTTTGGATAATTTTTTAAAACTGTTTTGACGCAGAGCGGAACCATAGAAGAATTTACGTACAACTGTATATAAATCCATGTTCAAATGGTGGATTTTGTCAGCCATCACTTTCTCGAGATCTTTGAACAAATATCCCACGTGTTTAAGTGTTGTGTTTTGTCCGAGCCTAATAAGCCATGTAGCACAGCGGTTTCCTTGAATGGTGCAACCCTTCTTCATCCTGTCAACAAACAACGGCAAACTAGCTCCTTATGCGATACAATACCGCTACTAATTTTTGTTCAATCGACGAAATGCGACGCAGTCAGTCCGTCGCAACCGTCGCCTCGCCATAACTCGTGAACAAATGGATTAGGTCATTCGAAAGTTATACCACTGGATAGCTCTGCTCACGAAGAATCCAACGGTTTAGAGGACTATTGAGTTCTCTGAATTTTCGCTTCATTTTCATGAAATTTATCAAATTACCTGAGGCTGACTCATTAGCGAGCGTCGCTCGCTATAATTATAACCAGAGGGGAACAGATATTAATAGTAGTATTTAGCGAGTAATAAAGTTATTATATTACTCCTATGTAAAGTGAAAAAGAGACTGTTGTGTTCTTCAGATGGTGCTCGTCATTTTGATACCGAATTCATCCCAGGTGGGTCAGCTTTGTTGAATGTCATTTTTGCATGGAAAAGCTCCTTTGAGCCGAAGTATAGCGAAAACTAATAGGATCTGAGCCTTGTCACTTAACGTTCCTTTTCTACAGAGCTCACCCCATTGACGAGAAGTTTTTGAAGTTCCTACCTAGCACCGGCTGTCAATTTCGAGGTCCTTGAATCAGAGCGAAATTCACATTTTTTCATGGAAAGAAAATAGTACAAAAAGTATACCATTGAAATCCTCTG